GAGAATTTATATTTCTTCCTGACATTAATAATTTGTGATATTTTAATAAATAATATCCTGAACGATTCATTATCTTCTTTATTTTATGTGTGCATTTGTGTGAAAGCATGCTACAAGTGTGCTCCTCTTGGTGGGCCACAAGAGGGTATTGTGTTCTCCAGAGTTGATGCATGCCATCTGTTTGAATTGAGTGCTCTGTTCCCAATTTACTGTCTCTAGGAGAGCAGCAAGTGCTCTTAACAGCTCAGCCATCTCTCCAGCCTGTAAGTCATGTTTTCAATTTTGGCCCTGGGAATTGAATTTTGGGCCTTAAAGATGTTAAGTAAATAATCTGCATTATATCTCCCAGATCACTTTCTAAAAAAAACATTTCTTTAGAACAGGTCTTACACCCATAGTAAAATTGAACAGAATGTGCAGATGTTCATATGAATTCCTTGATCTATTATAAACGTCTGCTCTCAACCAAGAGGTGCCCTTGTTACCATTGATGAACTTAGTAATGCATACTTTTGGCTCAAATTTCAAAGCTTACATGCATATAGATATTCCAAAATACAAAACCCAAACCCACAAAACTCTTCAAAACAACCCATTAAAAAATTCTAGTTGGTGTTGAGTATGAAAATGGCTCATATCATGTGAGGTTTAACAAATTAATAGTGACACAGATCTACCACCAATACAATAACATAAATCTCAAGTGTGAAGTGTTTTACATATTTATAGTATGCCATTCATTTACTCTTGTCTTATTGTCTCAGTTGCCTTTCAGAGTTTAGAATATTTTTAGGGATTATTCTAGAACTTTAAACACATATTAATAAGTAATCCAACTCTACTCTGAAATCACTCAAAGAGCCCCATCTATGGCATATATTTCAAAACAAATATGTGTAACCATCCTTTCCCCTACCAATGTTGATAATTATTTCAGTAATGCATAAGCTTCTAGAGTATATTCCACAAAGTCAGAAAGTTCAGAGCGTATGAGTACCTACCAGCGGGTACCCGTAGTCTCTCAGTCAGCAACAGAATGGATGCATGAGGGTGGCTCACTTCTAACTTATATAGGACATGTCTGTTGCATCTCATCTTTGCATCATTTTCTTCTCCTATGCTTAACTCAATCTTTTGTTACTTCATATACTGTGATTTCTAATTTTGCCTATTTCAGTTTTGCTTATTGCCAGTATACCAGGGAATTACCTAAGGCTAAGAACAGAAGTGGTTAAGGACCCTGGAGGTAGAATATCAGCAGTAGCACAGTTCTTGGTTGTCTGTCATTCCACCACAAATGAAATCTTGAAGAATGTAAACAAGTTATAGGGCCTGATAAAAGATGAACTCAGTGAAGCTGAAACAAGATTAATTAAGGAATGGGAACAGACATACTGAAACTTCCAATGGTCTGATGTAGGGGAACCACAAATACATAAGCCTTTTTGCAAAAAGACAAACAGAGCCAACACATGTTGGCTTTCAGTGTTCTAAAGCAGACCTATATACAGCTTTGGAAAACCCCCCATTATTTATGTAAATGTATTTTCAAATATTAAAAAAACAACAACAAATATTATAATGGCCACTCATGGAAAAACTCTCTATGCCCCATGATTTAAAGGAAAAAAGTAGGCAAGGATCATGCTGCCACATGGGTGTAATTGCCAAGTCATAAGTACACATGCTCAGATACAGAGCAAGGGGAAATTTACGGGTTTGTTTATTCATTGTTATTTATTTATTTTGGTCTTCTTACTCACTATACAAATTCATGTCTGGACCCTATTTCTCATGATGTGGATAACGTGCTTCATGGTATCTAATTTATGAAATATACAGAGAAAACATGTCTTAACTTGTTTCAATTGCCACAATAATTATTATCAATGTAAAATGGATAATCTAAGCAGTTTCTTTAAACTTAGATATGTATTACATCTGAGGTATGTGATCTACAGGTATGTGTTCCTACAAAATAAAATGTAGAAAATAATATCCTTCCTTTCCACTTAAATGAAAAGAAGAGCATAAGGCCTACCTTTAAAAATCTGTTGTGTTTTTCCTCCCCCTCCCCTTTCCATTCCTTTACCAGGGTGGAATGGGGTGGGGTGGGGTGGGGTGGGGCGAAGGTGGAGGAACAGGAGGATGGGAGGGAGAGGGAACTGGGATTGGTATGTAACCTAAGATTGGTTTAAATATAAAAAATAACAAAAAGATCCTGTTATGAAATAAATGAACTTACTTCATAAGAATTTAGATAGGATTGAGTTTCCTTTAACCAAAAATGTGCTTTTCTTTCATATTTCATATTTTACGAGATAATCATCTGCAATTCATGTTAAAACAATTCACTTGATATATTCTTATTGAAATTATAGAACTCTTATTAAGCATTACTACAGATTTAACTTAGTATTCATAGAATACCATCACTCATTTTATATAAAAAAATTCTCTGAGACTGATTGGGCAAATATTTATTTTTTTAATGTTTTTTGTTTTCTTTTTTCAAATATTTATTTTTATAACAAATGAATTTCTAAAATATAGTTAGCTGATGAAATATCATCATCTTGATGATATTCCAAAGGGAGAATTTCCTGAGATAATACATGACAATTATGATTGATAATGCAAATTTATCAGTGGTGGTGCACACCTTTAATCCCAGCACTTGGGAGTCAGGGGCATGCAGATCTCTGCCAGTTCAAGGCCAGTCTGGTCTACAGTGCAAGTTCCAAGACAAGGAAGACTGCACAAAGAAAGCCTGCCTCAAAAAAGAAAGAAAGAAACCAAACCAAACAAACAAAATAACCCAACAAGCATACATGTATCATGTATTAAAATGAGTTATTAAAATGCCTGTGCATTATGATAGATTGGCAAATATTCAAATATGTATCTCTATCTCTCATTACCATAGTCATTAATAGAAACATATCTTTCCATTCTTCTATAATTTTATTTTCTTTGTAACATTTAACTTCTTTCACAGTCCCTTCATTTGAAGAAAAAGTAAAATAATATATGAAGAGAATAATAGTTCAAGGGCTTTGCATATCAGTGTGACATTTCAAATTCTCCTACTGAGAAATTTAGGGTCATCAGACCCAGGTAGGAATATTATCCATTCCTTCTCATGGTAGAGCTTGTTGTAAAGTTTGTGTAAAGGAAGGGTCTGGTGTTGGCAACATCATTCCATGGGGCAAAGAAACAGAGAAGGTTTTGACATGAACAGTATAGCTTAATATGGATTTTGCTTGAAACCCAATAGGGAAAAAATTTGATTCTTTTTATATAAATTCATATTTTCAGATTAATACAAAGTGCTTCTATTTCTGTTGTTTATTAACAAGAGTGTAGATCAGGCAAATAGAAATGAAAATTGGTATAATAAGGTAAGTATAGTAAGATATAATATAGTAATATTAATCTTAGTCATGTGTGTCAACCCATAGCAGGAGACAAAAACATAACAACAAAAAACATCTGAAACAACAATATATATTCTTTTTTTCTCTTTTTTTCAGGACAGGATTTCTTTGTGTAGCCCTAGCTGTCCTGGAACTAATTCTATACACCCAGCTTTTCTCAAACTCATAGAGATGTGCCTGCCTCTCCCTTCTGAGTGCTGGGATTAAAGGCATACTCCCACACTGCCAGGCATAATAAATGTTCTTAGCCTTTAAAAGAAGGGGGGCAAAGATGTTATCATCCCCCATAATGACATAAGTAAACTCATTTTATTATTCAACACAGAATTATGTAGTATCAGAACAAATGTTTCTGAAGAGAATAGATAAAAATCCAACATTAAATAGATGTACATTAAACCAGGCTCCACAGTCACCTACAAATCAAAACTGCTTCTGAGGTTGTTCCAGCTGTGGGGGTCACTGAATATTTATTTTTACATGCTCCTTAGTGTTCAGTTATAAGAAGCTTCCCCATTCCTAATAGTTCCCATATTCCATGAATTGGACTTGTGTTCATTTGTTTGCTTTATCTCCTGCCTTTTCATGAAAGACTGATATTTATCAATGCCAGGACCTTTGCCATTTACATTATAGTATATGCTAAAATTTAGTCTCGATATCCACATTTTGTTTAATGAAAACATATAAGTGAAATCGGGGGAATAAGAAAAAGGCAGATGTTACTAATAATGCAAAAGTAGTCAATGCTTTCTTGCATTTATTATGCATTGATTAAAATTATGTTTCTTTTACTATTTATTAAAATAAATTATTTTGAAACTCCTAGACATTTTTCTTGTTGTTGTGATCCTAGTCATAAATAGCTGAGCCATCTCGCCATTCCAAAAATTGACAGATTTCAATCTGATATATATATATATATATATATATATATAT